CCATCACTGCTAGTTTGGAGGCCATCGCTACTAGGGTGGAGGCCATCGCTCGTTGAATTGGCGTCTATTGAGTTCCCTGGAGTGTCGACCGAGGCAGAACCAATTAGTCAAGCAAGGTACATCCCTCTGGTCTTGCTGGTGGTGTCGAAGATGATGTCACCAGGCAAGTGATAAAGCTCAAAGACAGCCTGACTGCATAAGTTTAACTCCATGGATGGATCAGAGCGCCCGATCTCTCTGAAAAAGGCATGTCCTTAGTGAACAAAGCTTGGGAACCCGATGAACCTGAATGGTTTTACGGACCATGAAGGACCTCTTCAAAGATCTGACGAGCCATTGTAAAGAGGTCCTGGACTGTTGGTCGATTTCTCGAAACTTGAACCCAAATTTCCCCACAGGGCTCCGAAGGGTGGAGGCCATCGCTACTAGTAACCTTCAGAATCGGACCTGAGTTATGTCCTGACTGGTCTAGACTTCTAGGACTGAGCGACGGATTCTGCCCCGAAGGATCAAACAAACACATCGGACCAGATCTGGGCTTGGCTTCGGTCCTCAAACACGTCCTTCACACGAAATGTGCCTTCTTCCGACCCAGTGGCGCCCCAAGTCTAAGTGGTGTAAACGCCTGGAGGACCGGTTGAACAAAACCACTGGGATCCGCTGGCGCCCCAGCATTTTCCGCTAAGCATCGATGCAGGATCGGGCTGCGAGCTTCCTGGAAGAGCTCTCGAATCATTCCCTCTGGAAGGTGTTGCAGGAAAGGCATGTGCCCCTGCATCTCATTGCGCCGATGCTCTTGTTGAACGTAGCGCTTCATCTGCATGGTGTAGCTGTACGAGATACTGTGGATCGCACAGTACTTCCGGACCGACTCAATCATCTTGGTTGTGCGTGTCCTGGTCGAGGCATGTATCTTGTCCAGGGCTTGCATCGAGCTGTGGAGGATCTAAGAGTTAAAAACTCAAACTCTTTTTGCTGGACCTAAAGGATGCATAAGGGTCTTAGGCTTAATTAGGTCTGACATGTGCATGTTTATTTGTTATTTTTTCAAACGTAATTACCTGTCTAATTGTGTGACTGCTTCAAGCAAAGTCTTTATGCATGAGTCTATATTATATATGCTCCACCAGTGTACTGGCCAGGTGAAAATCCAGAAGAGTGTGCTAACTTAACACACCAACCATCGGCGTGCTGGCCGCCAGTGCGGCCGTGCTGGCTCCTCTCACGCGCCACATCGGCCATGGTGTTGGTTACAAAGCTCACGAAGATGGATCCAGAGATCAACATGCCACAGGTGGCTGAGATGCCTCCATGAGGCTCGCAGAACGTTTGTGGCAAACCCCACCATTCTTGTGTGTGCACCATCACTAAAAGGATTGATGCGTTCTTATATAATTGGAACATTTCAGCAAAATGGACTCGAAATGGTGCAATGGTTGCATTCTGCCCCCAAAAACTCGGCAAAACCATGGCACTCGGTGCGTGCGAAATCGTGCGAACGCAGACGCCGAGCCGAAGCGCAGCGCGCGCCCGGATCTTCGGACCAAGGCGCCGAGCCAACGTTCCAAGGGCGTGTTGAGGTCCACGGTGAGGCGCAAGGAGGAAGGAGGCAACTTCGATAAGGCCCATTCCAAGCTCCTGGCATAGCAAATTAGGTTGGAGGCCATCGATGCTAGGGTGGAGGCTAGTTGTCACATGTCAGTGTGTTGAAGCAGAGTAAAGTAATTGTATAGCTGAAATTAGCTGACCCTGGTCAGGCACTAACAAATTTTAGCAGTTCCTGGCAGTGCGGTTTCTTCAGCATGTGGTTGGATTGTGAAAGGGATTGCTAGTTGCCTTTAAAGTAGCTATGATTCCCTGCCAAAGTGGCCAATGTTCCAACAAAGCAACAGAAACGGCCCGAACACCCTAAACCGTTGGAGCAGATTGCCTCGGCGAACT